GTTTTCAATATTTTTATAATATTTAATTGTTTCCATACAAGTCAGGCACAAATTTGTTACATTTTGCTAGCAGCTAATATATTTGAAGAATTATTATTTCTTCATCATTTTATTGAAAACTGTGCTTAATAATACAACCTTATCCCTTCTCTTACCTAGTAAAATGATCTTATGACAGCTGATATGGAGTATTAAAGTGTCAGTTACAGATTTGTGGTATATATTGTCCAATCGACGGTGGAGACTGTAACAAGAAAATCATTAGTTTAATCATGTCAATATGTAAATTCTTTGGAGTATTCTTACAGGAAAGTTCAGTGAAAGAAATTCAGTCTCGAATTACATGACGAAAGCATTGCTGATTAAAAGTACTATCTTATAAGATAAGACATTTCTAGGTTATGCACATCAGTTTTTCTGTCAAACATCTCACAAAATGGAGAAACATATGCACTTGTGGAAGGGTGTTGATGAATTGTCATATACTTTTAGCGACAAACTAAGTGGTATCATCTGTAGACTGGTTACTATTAAAGATCACATTTTTGTAGCAACCACTACTAACAATTTATATTATGGAGAGGTATCATTTTTGGAGAATAGTCCCCCAACATTGGTTTTCAAAAGGGCTCAATTTGATGTGATCGACATAGCATCAAATTCAGATTATTTGTTTATTGTAGATAATAATGGATATGTCTTGAAAGTAAATCCTCTAAATATGAATGTAGTAGATACAATAATTTTAAAAGAAGAAGTTAAATATTGTAGTCATGGGTATGTTTTACAAAATTTTTGTTTAGCTTTAACGTGTAATAATAATTTTTTTATGCTCATATTTTTCATTATAAATTGTTTCTTATTTATACAAATTATATCATTATAGATATAAACAAGAAAATGAAATTGTTAAAGTAAAATCCATAGCTGTTAGTGATCAAGCAGCATTATTTGTAACTGAAAATGGACAACTTTGGGCTAGTGGGAATCAATCACAAATAGGCATCAATAATACAGAACCTAAAAAAGTTAGATTTTTTGAAGGCAAAACTGTATCTGCTGTTGCATGTGCTTCGAATTTTAATGTAATTGCTGTGAGAAAAACAATAAAAGGCATGAAGGACGATACTGACAGTGAGAATGATTTGGAAGAAGTGTTTGTTAATTCATGCCCTCAGTGCCTCAACAATGTGTTATTGAGCCCTACAAGTTTAACATCATCAGATACTGGCCCTGTTGGACTTCATGTGCAGCAATTTAGTGACAACCATTCAACTAATTCTATCAGTGCTTTATCTATTGCTAGTAAAGAACATGATGCTGTTTCACTTACAGAGAATATTAAAAAGGAACATGTTTCTGAGATAATAGAAAATGGAGATCTATGTTCTAATAATCCAGTGGATTCTGAAAAAGAAGAAAAAAAGAATGTTATTTTGATAAATACAGAAGCGGCAAGACAATTTTTAACCAGACAATTATCTTGGGTTTCATCTTATGGAAGTGTTAAAGAAGACATACCTTTGGAAAATGTTGAAAAACTAGATAGGTTAATCAAACAAAATGTATCTAATGTAGCTAATTTAGTGTACGAAGGAGTCAAAAATGTGGGAGGTAAAGTTGTTACATTATCTAGGCATATGAGTGGAAGTTCAGACATAAATGAATTCAAAGACGATAGTAGTGAACATTTAGAAGAATCAGAAGAAGAATATTCTAAACCTACTGCTACTAGTTTGGCACTAAGTTTACGCTGTGAAGAATTTCCTTGGTCATCAAGCACTGGTTCCCCAGAACATGAATTATCTCAGCAAGGTTTAAATGAAAGGATCAACACATTAACTCGTACTGGCAGCAATATCCTATCTACTGAACTCTGGTCATGGGGTGATATTCAGTATGGGCAGTTAGGGACAGGAGATATCATTAAACGCCCTCAACCTATTTTGGTGGCAAAACTTAGTAATATTGGACTCAGAAAAATTTCATGTGGTGTATTTCATGTACTTGCCTTGACATTAGATGGAAGAGTGTTTGCTTGGGGAAGAAATAATTATAAACAAGTCACATTGGAATCAAGTGCATATCAAAGTGCACCTCAGTTATTCACTACAAAAATATTTTCAAATGAAAGAGCCAAAGATATAGCAGCTGGTAATTATCATAGTTTGGTTATGATGCATCATGGTTTATATTTTATTGGAAAGTCAAGGTAAATAATTTAATTATGAAAGACATAGATAAAAAATCAGTGTTATTCTATATAATTGTGTCAATATGGTTTCAGTAAAACTGCTGAAATGTACCAACTTGATATTGAGACAAGTAATGAATATAGTACACGTCAAATTTTTAGTTCTGGAGAATACAGTTGTTGTTCTGTAATAAATGAACCTGAAATAAATATTTCTGAAGATTTAATAAGTGATCAAGTCTTCTTACAAGAGATATTGATTGTTTACCAATACTTAATTAAGCCATTTCAAAAAAAGGGAGGTGCTATACAAGAATCAAATGTTTATGAAACACTATGTAGATGTTATACAGAGTTGTTAAGTTTTAATGCATTGAATGTTATTAGTTTATGGGATTATTTTAATCATATTGGTGAAGCATACGAAGTGACAGTAGTTGCTAATGTCAAGGAGTATATTACTGTGTACAGATATTACTTAAATGCACTATGTGATGTTATTTGTTTGAATGGATTTACATATATTGCAAAAATAATTGAAATACCACAGGTGTTAGCAAACTTATTTACCAATAAATTAAAAAGTAATGAAATTAAAAAAATTACTGATGAAATTATTATCACCATAGCACTACAACATCCACTATGTAAATTGAATAGGTAAATATTTGTATATATAAATATATATGTACTTATGTACAGAGTAGTAGCAATTTTCACAATAGT